TACTTTGTTGGTCACTATAAGTTTAGGACCACCGACTGCGCCAATAACGAATTCGCGGTTGCAAGTTTTGAAAAAAATATAATTTTTATTTCAAGATAATAATACAACTTTGAATCGGAGACAATTCACGTCTTAATGGTATAGCGAATGAATTAGATCTGAATCTGGAGTGTGAGTTGAACGCTTAGCAAACCCATGGTCGACTTTGTTTATATGGGTTGCGCTCTTTAAGAGAGTTGCGCATGGAAAATTACCATGATTTGTGCTGCGTAAGCTATTTGGTTGCTTATTGTGAATAACGAATTCGGCATCGGCGGATGTCTATGTCTATGAATCAATTGTGTATGTTAACGCGGCCGAAATTGTTATTGTCACCAAGAGCTTGGGATCTGACTTATGTGTTGGGGCTTGTAATTTTAAGTGTGTTGCTGGGCAAATGGATTGGGTGGGTGTGATCAAGTGGTACATATGTACTGTGTGTGTGTGGTGTGTGTGTAACAAAGTGTTATACTATGGTACATATGCTACTATATGGGGATATATCCTCAAGTCCCTTAGACTTAAGCGTATGCCTACTGAGCATATACACAGTATAACCAATACACCCCACACTACCCATTATGTACCCAAGCAATACCAGATAAGAACCAGACTGTAATACGAATCAGACCGTAATAAGAATATAGGATGTTATTGAAACAAATCACCCACTGGTAAACTAAACATCCTTTTCCTAAGCCGCAAACAATTGTCACGTTCCCACGTTCAAATTTCGGACTCGCAAACTCGAAAACAAATGTTTTAAATTTCAAATAAGCAAAATCTTAAGAATCTAAGAGCACTTGTATCCAAGAGCGAATGCACTTGAATCAAAGAGAAATGCAGATAACTCTCTCTCTCTAATCCTAAAATCCAAAGTCCATATTTGAAAAGCTCGAACCCGAGGCTTGAACGTTAATCAATCTAGATCAATAAGCAGAGTTCAGTTTGAGACTTAAATTAAGAAGGTCGGTGTTCTCCTAAAATAAAGTGTAATTATTCAGTTAATAAAAATTTATATTTTTTTGACTTATGGAAATTACCAACATATAATTATATATGTATACATATATATATATATATACGTAGGATATTTTCGGATATACTCTGTTATATATGTATAAGAAATGTTTGACAAATAAATTAATAAGTTTTGATGTTAATACTGCCAAACTAGCTCTGCGTCTACGTCTCTGGATTCTTCATGCTGAATCTTAATTTAATCCAGTTTTCGTAACAAAAGTAATGGGTATCTGCTCGTCGCGGAACTTGGCTGTTTTACGGTTTTGTTTTTCACAGGTCTAGCATGCAACAGCAATGGTGGAATCACATTTTGAGATTAAGTACCGTTGCATTTGAATTTATAGTTAAATATACTTAGAGCTTGAACATATTTTCTATTAGTGATAATTGGGGGAAGTTTACTAAAAATCATTTTAAACACATTTCCTTATCCTTTTTTATATGTTGAGAGGAAACCCCTTATATGTACAGTTGCGGAGACATTAATAGCACCATAAGCACATTTCGTGTTTGTCCCAGCGTTTCTGTATTTTCTGACACTTTTTCATCATTTTACTCACTAAACTTAAATTGTACAATGACTTTCAATCGAAATTACAAAATTAGTAACAGATCTAATGGATATTTTAAAAATAATTGGCAAAACAAAAAGAAAACCTTCAAATTTAGGCGATAACAAAAATAGCACTTTTTTCGTAGTTTGCTAAAACTAAGCAAAAAAATAAGAAAAGAATTCAACAAATGGATTATATCTTAAGAACTATGTTTAAAGAATCTTAATATTTGGTTGCGTGACCTTTGTTGGCGATGACAGCTGCGCATCGTCCTGGCACCGTTTTTGAGGAATTTTGCTCCATGCATCCTTGAGCACACCCCAAAGTTCCTCGATATTATTAAGTTTGGCTTCAGAAACCTTTTTTTTCACGTCCGCCCAAAGGTTTTCGATTGGATTCAAGTCGGGTGACTGAGCAGACCATTTCATTACTCTGATCGATTTCTGCTCAAACCACTTTCGAGCTTTCTTGCTCGTGTGTTTTGGGTCGTTACCTTATTGAAATGTCCAAACTAACGGCATTTCATCCTCGGCATATGGCAGCATCACATTTTCCAGGATATCTGTGTAAATATGCTGATCCATGATGCTTTGAATCCAATGGATCGGACCTACTCCATAGTATGAAAAGCACGCCCATACCATTATGTTTGATCCTCCGTTCTTTACCGTCTTAGAGGTGAAGCGAGGATTATATTCAGGTCGTGGTGGACGCCGAACATAAGACCGAAAGCCTTTTCCACCAAACAACACAATTTTGCTCTCATCTGACCACAAAATGTTGCGCCACTTCTCCACAGGCCAATCCTTGTGTATCTTAGCATATTCCATTCGCTTTGCCACATGCTTCACAGTCAAAAGCGGGACTTTTCTGGGACTCCACGCATTAAAGTTGTTTTGTCTTAAGCGTTTGCATACTGTTTTCTCGCTTTCAGCTATCTGAAGCTCCTTCTTCAGTTCCGTTGCCGGCTTAAAAGGCTCCTTCTTGCTTTGCCGAACCAAGCGCTTGATCTCCACGTTGGACATTGAGGGCTTTCTTCCACGTGTTTCGTTCTTTTCGACAAACAGCAGTGCTTTGCGGATCATTTTGTTTGAACAACCGAAAATTCGATCAATTTTAGCGTAGGTTTTACCTTCAGAGACCATGTTTTTAATCAAATTTCTTTATTCGACGGTACAATGCCTTCCGCGACCCATGACTAGAGAATTTTTGGTCTTCGTTTGGAAAAAATTCAATTAAAACCTTTAATGCAACTCCTTTTTTCAAAATTTGTCAAAAAAAAAACCCAAAGCAATCACTCCTATTAATTTTATTCAGCAAATACGTGGTCAGTGCTAGTTTTGTTACCGCCTCATTTCGGGCGCTTTTGCAGAAAGTGCCCAAAAACAAAAAGAACCGTTACATTGAGAGAGTAAAAATTTCTTGCTCAGAGAGACAACATAAGGTACTTATTATTCATGCAATATGACTTTAAAAAAAATAAACATTCAATCATTTTTTTTAGGAAATAAACTTTCCACCTGCAGTCGTGCTATTTTTTTAGCCGCAGCTGTATATGTAGTTAGTTAACACAGACAAACAAACAAGACAACAGAAAGGATTCGAAAAATATAGTTTTCCCCTTAACAACGAAAAGTACACACTGACGACTTTGTAGGATATTGAAATACAGAAATCTAGCTTCAGACATTTAGAAGCTATTAGCGGAGAATACTTATCTTCCAGTTTAAAAACGATCTACAAGCCACTTTTCAAAAAGTTTTTTTTTCGTGTTTCTTGATCGGCGTACACATATGTACATATTTTACAATAAATAATTGTACTCGAAGTTATATATATGAAATAGCTATATAATGGTATATCTGATATGTTAAAAAGTTAGCAAGTTAGAAGTAAGCGTTTCCAATCCATTAATTTATATGTACTCTTTATCAGAATCACTATCTGAGTCTATCTATCACGTCTGTCTGTCACTTCTACTCTCCGAGTAAGCGGTATAAGTTTAAACGTGAGTATAAACAGAAGAGCCCTTATCATAAATCGTCAATCGCCTAAGACCGACCAAATCCAGATATTTTTGAATGGCTTCGTGTGCATCACTTTGGTCTAAATGGTAACGTTGAACATCAGTTCGATTGCTTAAGTATGTATGTACATATGAATTAACATAGTTTTTCGTATTTTATAGAGATAAAAGAGGAAGACGATTTCCTCGACTGAGAAATTTTAAACCGTTAGGCATACAGAATAACATTTGCAAGGAAAAAAATAAACAAAGAAATATCAGAATTTCAGTCTAAATTTTCAGTATTTCTCGCAGACAGACAGACACTCGGACGACCAGACGGACATTGCCTGATCGACTCAATAAGAAAATTCATTAAAATTAATTCCCCTTTATTTTTTTTTTTACGAATCTTTGTTTACCACCCTTCTATATATGTGTAGTATAAATATAAATAAAGGGTGAGCGTGGCAATGTGAAGAAAATTTTCGAATCATATCCATCACCAGAATCTGCATGCCTAATCTAAATAACTTTCCAGCTTTTAAGGTTCCCGGGGCCCCGACGTTTAGGCAGACATATCCAGATCGACTCGGCTAATAATCCTGATTAAGAATATACAGAAAAACTATATAGGGAATATTATGTACAATGTGTAGTATACACTTTATAACCATATTTAAACCATATTGCCTGTTGCCAAACGTATTCTTGATCAGTACATTGTTTTAAAATTTGGAATTGGTTATTACTTATATTATTATAACAATCTATGGTCCAAGTGCATACGCACCTGTTGCATGCATGTGCCTTTGGTTTCAAAATTTCTATTGAAAACTACTTATTACTGACGGTAAAAAAGCGGTGAAAAATATTTAGCAACTTATATTATCGATTTACAAAAACATGGAAAAGTGATTATATGAATGTTTCACAGGTCTAGGGAAATGCAGTTTACAGCCAGATATAACTGGATATTTAATATGTAGTTAATATGTATGTATTTAATACATATGTATGTATGTATGTACGTCTTTGTGTTTCTTCGTAGCCTTTTACAAATTTTTATTAAACATTATTTTTTACTGACAGTTAAGAACCCGAAAAATATTAAACAACTTATGTAATCGATTTACCAAAACATTGGTCAAGTGACTGTATACATTCCTCACAGGCCTAGGTGAAAGCAGTTTACAACCAGATATATCTGGATAGTAAAATGTAAATACATATATATAGACATATACATATTAAATAAATAGCCCTCTTTCTTAAAAAAAGTGTAATAATAAATATACTTACTGGGGAATATTGAATATGAAATAATTATGATATGAGGTATTTATAGAATAAATACATTTATTTAAATGTAAACTTGCCTTGCTAAATTTTGTGATATTGCAGACGATAAGAAGTTGAAGTCATTATCTTTCTGCTGCAAGAATTTATTTCTTGTATCCATAGAAGTTGCATTTATACCGTTAGCAAAAAGAATTATTGTAATTAATGATGTCAAGTATGTGCTTTTCATTTTAATCGAACTGAGTAATATGTATACTCGGACTATTGATTTTGTATTGCTCAATAGTATTAGGCTGTAAAGTTCTAGGATAACAAAATAAATAATTTTTAACCACTTTTCAAAGACACCACCATTACCACCGGTGTATTTTAAGAGTTCAGCCCATTTAGTCTGTAATTGACACATGTGTATGCACTGTTTACTATTTTGAATTCTACACTGTTGGGAGTATTTTAGTGGCATCTGTCACTGCCGCTTTTATAATCACTTGACAAATTGTCTATTTCAATGCGAGAAATCTTGTACTTTAATATATTTTTTAATAATGCAAGTAGCAAGATTTGCAGAACACTTTTTTAATTGTATTTTGCAAGTTCCTTAAATACCTTTTTTCCACTCTCTCTAATCTTATTCTCTAACCTTTCCCATTTCTCTTAAATGTACTGGTATTTTAATAGCCAATGCCGCTGAATATTCTGATGAGTACATCGATATTACTATCGATTACACTTACATACATATGTATATTAAAGGCTTTTCATGCAGAAGGCAAGCCTGTATTGAAATTATATCAACAGCGAAACTGCACCTTAATAATGTCCATCATTATAGCGATTGATACCAACGAATACAAAATTTTTTTTAACTTATTTTTTGTTCAGATTTTTAGTTATCGGCCCGTTCCAGATTTCACTTCCGAAAGATTCACACGGTTTTCTTCTTTCTATTTTTTTTATTAAATAAAAGGAACAGCTGTGCAAACAAACCGTGAATAATTATTTTGAATTCAACTTGAAATCAATATAAAAGTAAATAATTTGAATACTGCATTTCGTTTAGAATTGGCATAATTTGCTGAAGTGTGTGATGGTAATACGTTATGGAAATACGAGTTACCTTGATATGTTTAAATAGATAAATTAACCCTTTTAACAAAATAAATAACTTTATTAAACCATATAAATATATCAAGGGAAATATTAAAACTTAGGAAAATATTATGCTTTAGCTTTTTGCAGCACTAATTCCAACTAATAAGAGCACTACTAGAACAGCTGACATCGAAACGTGACGCAACAGCAAAAGGGAATACGAGAGAGAACGCTATAATCGAGTTCCTCGATTATCAGATAATCGTTGCAATATATCTTTAGCATACCGATAGAAATTTGAAAGTCAAATAAGAAAATGAATAAGTATCTAAAGAATTTTCAAGAGATTGGGCGTGGCAGCCTTGGTCGGTTTGTGGGCGTACAAAATAGGTCCACAAAATTGCGCTGCGTATATGTATGTCTCTGGAATCTGCATGGTGCTAGTTTGCTACATATTGGTGGTCAGACGGACATGGCAATATCGACTCCCGCTATTGATCGTGATCGCGGTCGAAAACGCTTCCCTCTACCTGTTACAACTTTTCAACGAATCTGGTATACCCCTTTACCAAACCCATTAGAATAATAAGGTGCGTATCGGCCATATGTACATAGTTTTTGCACTATGCAGCAACTTCTTTGCTCTAATTGCTCTCTCCCCGCTCGCGTAAAATAGAGAGCATAAAGATCGATAAATAGATTCGTTGTAATATACATATGTATGTCGGAGCATAATTTTGCATGTGTTAGTGTATTGGTATTCTGGTAGTGTATTTCATCATAATGGAAATATTGCATCAGCCTCTTTTTTCGCAGTTATTGGTTGCTTGTAGTTTTGTAGTTTTGGGAAGAACCGTTTTAGCGCGGCGCCAGCGTGTTGTCGCTGACGCCGAGTGTGGTTCGATGGTAAGCACGGAGAAGAAGAGTGCGACACAAGGCAGTTGTTCGTAGTACTTCAGTGCGATCGGAACTCACTGCGCTAGCATTACGGCGAATAACAACGAAACTGCGACATCAGAAGTGGGATCGGGCTCGCTACCTGATATGTCTAGTGAACCATGGCGGATTTTAATGGAAATGCAAAATAGAAACTTTATTGAACTTGTTAAAACACTGCAAACAACGACATCCGAAACAACAAATAAAAATTAGGTAGTGCTACCCAAATTCAACGCAGACGGTGCTGGCGTCGATGCAACGGCGTGGTGCTCTACAGTGGACATAATTTTCGCAGAAAACACCATAAAAGGCAGCGCGTTGGTGATGGCTTTGAGTGCAGCGATGGAAGGTAGTGCTTCGCAGTGGCTTGCTCAAATTTGTTATCCTGGCATAACTTGGGCCGAAAGTACTTTTCGTTCAACGTTTTGCCAGTGCGGAAACTCCAGCGGCTATGTTTTTGGCAATGCTGGCAGATTGTCCAACTGACGGTGAATGCCTTTCCAATTATGCTAGTCGCATGATGACGTCACTTATTACGAAATGGCGTGATATGAATGTGGAGGAAATTGCAGCTTCAGTAACGCTTGCTAAGATGGCACATGTGGATAGCAGATTGCAGCGATTGACATTTACTTCATATGTACGGACCAGAAGTGAATTGCAAACGGAGCTTAAAGCATTTACCTTCAACAAAAGGAAGAAAACTCTGCAAGAAGAAGCGGCTCTGTCTGAAATAAGATGTCATTTCTGTGGAAAACTAGGCCACAAGATGATCGAATGCAGAATTAAACAGCAGCAAAATCTTTCATCTCGTGCTAAGGACAGCAACGATAGAAGCGCAGTTGGTCACCATCAAAAATCGGATGTAACCTGTTTTAACTGTGGAGAACGTGGCCATATTTCAACATATTGCAGTAAACCGAAGAAAGAAAAAGGCACGCTTCAGGAAAAAAAGGGCGGAACTTTGTGAAGTTGTTGAACCCAAGGGCGAGATGGTTCATCAGTGCGAGATATATCCAATAACTTTTGACTCTGGATCGGAATGTTCTTTAATTAAACAAAAGCTAAGTAACAAATTTGTTGGTAAAAGAATTAACAATGTAGTGCTGTTGAAAGGTATTGGCAATGGTAGTATTTGTAGCACATTGCAAATACTTAGTAACGTGAAAATTAACAACTATTGTATTGAGATATTGTTTCATGTTTTGGACGATGTGCATTTAAGAAATGATACCATTATTGGTCGAGAAGTGTTGTTCTCAGGATTTAATGTAATAGTATCACCTGGTCAATTTGAAATTATCAGATCAAATACTGTAAATTATTGTTCAAATGATAAACAATTTTGCGAGTTGAATTCTGATCTTGTTGGTGAAGATATGAGGAGGTTAAAGAGTCTAATGGGAAAATACTCAAAATCTTTTATTAACGGAATTCCTTTGTCTGGGGTTAGCTCAGGGGAAATGAAAATTAAATTGGTAGACCCAAATAAAATTGTTCAAAGAAGACCATATAGGCTTAGTCCAAATGAAAGAGAGTTGGTGCGTGAAAAAATGAAGGAGCTATTGGAGTGTAAGATTGTAATGAAGCTGTTGAAAGAGACAGTAATGAAGAAATGGAAAATGAAGCTGTTGAAAGAGACAGTAATGAAGAAATGGAAAATGAAACTGTTGAAAGAGACAGTAATGAAGAGATGGAAAATGAAGCTGTTGAAAGATACAGTAATGAAGAAATGGAAAATGAAGCTGTTGAAAGAGACAGTAATGAAGAAATGGAAAATGAAGCTGTTGAAAGAGACAGTAATGAAGAAATGGAAAATGAAACTGTTGAAAGAGACAGTGATGAAGAGATGGAAAATGAAGCTGTTGAAAGAGACAGTAATGAAATGAAGCTGTTGAAAGAGACAGTAATGAAATGATTATAAGCTTTAGCAAGTGACACTGCGGAGGCCTGAAGGGCTTCTAATGAAATTTATAATAATAATGTAAGCACAAGTGCAAAACAATTGTTTTGATCATGGCGTGTGGCGCATTAGATATTGTAATGAAATGATGAATGAATTATGTTAAAAAGTTTTGTATTGCTCTAGGAATGATATTGAGGTGTGAAATTTAATTTGTTAATGTAAGTGTAATTTGAAAATGGTTTTGTTGTATTAAAGAGGAAGCATTATGATAATATTTCACGAGGTCGTGTAATGGTCAGGATGGCCGTGTCGGAGCATAATTTTGCATGTGTTAGTGTATTGGTATTCTGGTAGTGTATTTCATCATAATGGAAATATTGCATCAGCCTCTTTTTTCGCAGTTATTGTTACAAGCAAGTTTTGTAGTTTTGGGAAGAACCGTTTTAGCGCGGCGCCAGCGTGTTGTCGCTGACGCCGAGTGTGGTTCGATGGTAAGCACGGAGAAGAAGAGTGCGACACAAGGCAGTTGTGCGTAGTACTTCAGTGCGATCGGAACTCACTGCGCTAGCATTATGGCGAATAACAACGAAACTGCGACATGTACATATTTTCAAATAAAATCTTATTTAAAAAGTTGATTCCGTGGCTATAATTTAATTGCTTTTCGATATATTTTATGTATTTATATTTATTTTCAGTCGTCAATTATTTAAATATTTTTTAACATTTAGGAATGATCTCTAATTTTTTCATTTATGAGATAGATTGCTGAGTTTATTTTTTTTTTCTATCAGCTATCACAGTTCACTTGCAATGCTTAAAAAATAAAACTTTTATAAGTTTGTTTAAAGATCAATTTAATGCACATAACATTCATTATTTGAGTGAAACCGTAATGAGAGATCGATAATTTCATTTGTGTACTTTTATTGCTCTACAACACAGTTGTTTTTTTATTATTTTTAAAAATATTTTCTAAAACTCTAATGTGTATTTTGAAGATATTAAAAAAAAACCAGATGGTGCCTTTAGTTTTCTAATGTCCGATTCTATCGTGTATTTTTTCTCATGTATGAAAAGCTCTGATGGAGCTGTTAAATGCTCGCTTTCTTTTAAAAGCAGCGATTTGCATTTGTTGCAACTGGATCCCATATCAATATATCCAAGAAAAGTTAATTCAATGGGTACATCATAGGACAAAAAATCATTCAAATTTTGGTCAAACTTTCTGAATATTATACAGAATATTCTCGCTTCTTTTTTCCTTTTTTTCAAGGAAAGGCTGATATATAATTGAATCGAACTCTACAGCAACATAACATCATCATCTGATTAGAAATGTGTAGTTTTAAAATTATTATGTTAAATTTGTTAACTGAAGAATTTTTACAGTTACCATATTTACAAGTACAAATATATAGATTTAAAAAAATATATGTATTCTATGAAAATAATTCATATTTAAAAATTTATATTTATAAAATAAATGCCAATATGCAACCTGTTTGTTGAGAAATTTAATTCTTGAGGCCAGGACCCGCGAGCATAAACACCTAAGAATCACTAACTACAAATTTTTTTTCACGTCGCTAGCTGAATTCTCTAACGAGAATTATTCTAGTATAAAGTAATTATGATATTAATTAGGCATTATTATGTACATTTATTCATCTAATACTATTTTTATGATTTATTGAAAGAATTATCATGTTAAGGCAATGCAAAATTAGAGTTACATGTTGGCAATCGAAATTGAAAGTCCATAAACATGTCAAGTGAATTTTGTCAAATTTGT